TCTCTCTTCTGTTTCACCCTCTTACCTTCCTCCTTCTACTCTTCTTGGTAGCACTTTGCGCCACTCGACTCAAACCTCGAAAGTACGTCGCATACCAACCTAGAGGAGAAATACTAATTTCCTTCTGAAATACTCTTTCTCTTTCTCTTACTATAGTTCTCACTCCTAATTCCTGAGTTAGACGTCAATCGAACTTTCAACGCTTTAACTATTTTACTACGAGGAAGAAAATTTCATCCTTTTTTACATTTTTTAAGATACCAATTTTTTTTGTTTGTCTATTAAATTTCTTTTATTTTCTTTTTTTAAATTCGCGTAATCTATTTTGTAGTTGTTAATAAGTTTTATGTTTTTATGTTTTATTTATGTGTTTAATATTCAATTTCTTCTTTTACGAATTATTCGTTTCATTTTTTTGATAAATTAAAAATGTTTCCTTTATTAAATGTTTCTGTTGTTGTTTTAATTATAATTAAAAATTTGGCAGTAAACGAATGAAAGGATCAAATGAAAAAAATTGGATTCATATGAATTTTCTTGTAGAACATAACTAGTTGACTTTTCTCGTTACCTCATCGGATCTTTTGCTTTTTTTTAATTGCCCTTTCACTGTTCCTCGTTGTCGTTGTAGTCGTAGCTTTTAATTACCTTTACCGCATCCCGGCGTCGGGATGAAAACGTAAGAACCGGGAAGTATTGTCCGAGATTAATGAGAACGATTTGTCGTCGAGCTATGTCAGAGCGCGATCGTGTTCGATAAAAAGAAAAAAAAGGTAGGAAAAAAAAGAGGAAGAGATAGAAGGATGTAGAACGTGAATGAAAAGAAATTAAGCGAGACGCCGTCGATTAGGTGAGTTTCTAGTTCGCGCGTGCTCACATGATTCTCTTCTGCTATTTTATTTATTTTATTTATCCTCTATCCTTTTTCCTTTCGAAGGGAAACGATTGAATGTTTTATTTTTATTTTTTTCAGTTGTTAGACTCTTCGATCGATTTAACTTGACAACCTTTTAAAAGAACCAACCGATACTATTAGAAAGAAAGAAACTAAACAGTGGCCACATTGCGATACTATGAGCAAAAACTAAATTCTCAAATAGGAATCCGCGACGTTTAATCTCCTTCGAGGTGGAAACGTTAGAAATATTCCGAAAGGGTTGAATTATTTCTTAAGGTTCATTCACAACTATATCAAAATTCATTTTTCATGTTATATTTAGGCTAATGAAAGATTTGGGTCAATTTATGAAGAAACTTACAGAATTTTGATATGATCAAAATAAATAAATACATTTTTTGTACATATTACAACGTTCAGTATTGTTTATAAAAAAAAAATTAATTCATATTATAGATACAATTATTAAAATTATCTAACATTTATTCAATTTTTGGCTAAAAATATTAAAATATTAATTATACTATAAATTGTAGATGTGCAATTAAAGAAATTTGTTAAAACTAGTATATTACTCACCTAGGGAGGTAAAGTAAGAAATGTCTCAGAGTATATGTAATTGTTGTCCGAGGCGAAGCCGAGGTCAACAAACATGTGCTCTGAGGCTTTCTTATTTACTGCCCATGGTGAGTATACATTTTTTCTGTTTGACGTAGGCGGAAAGCAGCAACTTCGTTTTGAACAGCGGGAGAAAAGTTGACACTTCTCGCCCGGAGAGAAGAAAAATAATAAATTTAATATTGATTACTATATGATAAGAACATAAGATTTATCTTTATTAAGATCGTTTCAGTTATGTGCAATGAAGAGAAGATAGCGTGCGAAGTGAGTCGTATTCGTACGAATTGCTTCGCTCTGTATAAGTGCAACGAAGATCTTTCTTTCTCTATTTCTTTTTCTTATTCTTTCTTTGTCTATCTTAAGATGCCACTCGAGTTTGCACGTCACGTTCCTTTTAATTACATCCGCCAAGTATCGACAGATACGAAACATTGTCGTAAGATAGAGAGACAACGGGCGTTGGATCGAACTAAGGTAGAACTTGACAATTCATTAAGAATACTCTGTAAGCAACTGGAACATCGTTACTGCAAAGTGCACAGGTGATGTCTGGTTGACCTGGTGGATCCAACAGGTGGATCCTGTTTAAGGATATCTGCATCTTTTTAACTTCCTACCATCTTCTTACATTGATAATCAATCGATTGTTAAGTATTTAAAAAAAAAGAAAAATTTAATATTATAAATATACGTTTTACAATTGAATAGAAAACAAGTTTGATACAGAAAATTATATATTATTAATTTTTGTATACATTTAATATTATTATTATTTTATTAGATTTCGTAAAACATTTATAATATTTTTTTGTTTTTGGTATGAATCAACAAAAATTAATTTTCTAATTTAATACATAGACGGTATGCGTTTATTGAAATGATTTAAAACGTGAGATCATCCAACGTGATTAAAAGTTATGATAAATAAAAAGAAACACACATTACGTGTCTTTTAAAATGAATTAGAACGAATCGATAGAAAATAATGGATTTATCCACGCTCGTTGATTAGAACACAACACCATTATGACCCATGGTACTTACAGTAAGACGATAGAAATTCTAACATGGATATTACAGTAAATCAACGTGGTGGAATTTATAACCGATAATTATTATGCTCGTTAGAAGAAGGTAACGGGTTAATGGAATGATACGACGTAAGAAGAGAAGAGAACAAAAAAAGGGAAAAGAAGGAAAGGAAAGGGAAGAGACGATCGTCGTTAAGTCGTTAAGGTCCGTTTCTCATCGATGTTGTCGTAGAACGATGACGATGACGAAGAAGACGCATTTATACATACATTTCTGTCGATTAATTTTCCCGCAAATTTCTCCTTTCTTTAACGATTCTCTTAACCACGAATATTAAACATTTAATAACATACGCGCAATCCTATTTTAAGCGATCTAATGATTTCTTATCATTTTTTTTCTATGTATTTTATTTTTTTTCAGATGATTAATTTTTATTTGATTATGTTAATTGTTATTTTCTTATTTACATTCTACGAATACATTATGTTTTTATTATTTAATCTTATTAAATATAATAGAAAAACAGAATTACTAATGTAAAACAAAAATTACTTTAAATTCATTTAATTTTTTTCAATATTTCAATTTTTATAATTTAATTTAATCAAACGCATAAAATTTTATTTATTTTATTTAATATTGTAAACTCTATTTTGTATTATTTAAATACATTTAATAAAAATTATAGGAAAAGTTTACTTTCCCCAAACACTTTACTTGAAATATAATTCAACTTGGAATAAAATACCGGATAAAAAATAAGTTGCACAATAATTATAACACTATAAAATGTAATAATAATAATAAAAAAAGAAATATGTAGACCGACATAGCATCGACAAATCGAAAGAGTTTTCCAAGAACGATCTAATCATGAGTTTTACTCTCTCTCTCTCTCTCTTTCTCTCTCTCTCTCTCCCTTTCACCCCTTTTTTTTCAATATATATAGTTGACGATCCTGGCAAGCAAGTTAGCAAGTAAGTAAGCAAGCAAGCAAGCAAGCAAGCAAGCAAGCAAGCAAGCAAGCAAGCAAGCCTTCGACAACACACGAACTTAACAATTAAAGACTCTCGCACATTTTCTTTTTCGATCTAACTCTCGTGGTAACTGGAACGATTAACGATTATTCCTTGCAAATAGTTGCGCGATCGTTTAGGAAGAGACTAAAGTCGTCGATCGAGTTGTGGTTTCCGTGAATCTGATTTCTCTCTCTCTCTTTCTCTTTCTCTTTCTTTCTTTCTTTCTATTTATCTCATTCAAGTACATAGATAGATACGTATGTAAGTAGTACGTTTACTTAAATATATCAACATATACCTACATACATACATACATACGTGTTTCCGAATGGAGTGGAATGAGTTGAGTGCAGGAGCAGCTCGTGAGTTATGACTGCGACCATTACTTGGGACAAACGAGGCTAAGCATGTCGACACACACAGGAGGCCTGGTCGGCCTTCTCGATTCTCCCAAGTCATTCTCGATTCTCGAGAATTACTAGACAGAAAGAGAGAGAAAGAGAAGGAGAGAAAGAAAGAGGGAGAGAGAGAGAGAGGGAAAGAAACGTCGTCAAGACTTCACCGAGTTTGATACTCGATCACAAACGATCCTTTTAAATTTGCCTTTAATTCTACTTTGAAATTACATCGTCCATCTCTCTCTCTCTCTTTCTCTCTTCCTCTCTCTCTCTCTCTCTCTCTTTCTGTCTGTCTTTTTTTCTTTTTCTATCTTTGTAGTTCTCTTTTATTTTATACTCTCGTTAGAATCGTTCTTTCGTGATTAGCATTAAATAGGTTACAATTTAAACATGATTTTAATTAATCAGTCAATGATGCTTACTTTAGTCATTATTTTTAAGAAAATATCTGTGGTAAGTATTATGATAATTGATATAAGAATTGCTAATATGTTAAATAAATAGTTAAAATTGATAATTATATAAGTAATTATTATTATAGTAGTAATAATCAATTAGAGGAGTATCTATATGTAAACTTAATGAAATCCTAAATTTATAGAAAATAATGATTATTTATTAAAAATATATCATATAATCAATATTGTAATGATTATTTTTAATTAATATTAATTCTATTAATATCATTAAGATTTAAATTATAACAATTATTTATACTAATCATATTTTTTAACAGTACACCGACTAAATAAATAAATGATTAAGAACTCTATTATTACTCTATAAGCAATTTTTTGTTGTGTTTTGATATTTAATATAATATAAAAATTCTTAAACAATCAAGAAAGAACGAATGCTACGTTCAAAAAAAGCTTACATTCTCCGCGATGCCATTTTCTTTAGTACAGTAAGAGTAACGCACAGGTCACTCTCTTTCTCTTTCTTTAATTTTCTTTCTTTTTTCTTTTTCTTACTGTCTTTTAGTCTGTCACTCTGTTCTCTCTCTAATCATCTTGGCTCGTTACTTACTTCGTCCTGAGAACAAAAAAGAAAAAACATACTGATTAAAAATCATACCAATTACTATATTATTATAATCGATATACAATTTAAAGAAATACAGCTGACAGTGATTTAAAGAAAAGGGCGGTAGGTTAAAAAAATAGTTGAAAGTTAAAGAAGAATAAGAAGTAAATATGATTAAGATTAAATTAAATATGATACGCATTATTAGCAAAAATGAATTATAAAGCGAATATGTAGAATGAAAAATTGAATAAAGTGTAATGAAAATCTCGTAATAGAAAGTATGCTTCATAAAAAGACTTGAAGAGATTCTTTTAATGTGAACGAGCTCTTATTGTGTTACATTTATATTTGTGTGTGTGTGTGTGTGCGCACGCACGTATGTATGCACATATAAGTATGTTTATGTGTATGTTCCTATGTATGTATGTAGGAACACGCGTTTGGATTCTTTTGAGGTGGCTCGTTAAGGTTCTCCTACTCGAAGAGAACCTATGAGAGATCATACGAAAAGTAGCCATGCCCCGTAGCAATACCCATAACCATAAATAATGACCATTGATTGGTCACTCGTCGATCGTTACTCGAGTGTACGTGACTGCGTTTACGTTACCACGGGTCGTTAACTCGTTTCCATTAAGGCGCGGTCTTGTATTTCTTTCTCTTTCGCTCTCTCTCTTTTTCTCCTCCTACTATCTCCTATCTTTCCTTCTTTCTCTTCCTTCCTTTTCTTTGAAGTTTATATCTTTTCTCTATTTGATCTCCTTTCAAACGAGATAGGCGAATTTAAACATGGTCCAAAGTAAATACAAAAGCAATGTTAATTCCCAATAATCGGAATAACGAATAAACCCAATCCGTTGAATTTATATTTGTGGGTGTGTGTATGTGTGAAGTGCGTTAATTCAATGCGGAATGCGTCGTTTAAATTTAGAAACGCCTCGGCAATTTGCCGTTTCCTTTATGATCTTCATCTTCCTTTCTTTTTTATGTTCTTTTCTTGTTTATTTTATTTTATTATACATTTTATTCTATTTTTTATTTATATACTATATATACTATATATATATATATATATATATATATATATGTATATTAGGGTGGGTCAAAAGAATCAATAGGTTATTTTTTTTACAAGTGCAATGGAAAAATGGGTTAATAGACACCTTAAAAAAATTGTAACAAAATGTGAGTTCTTAATTTTAATAGGAAGATCCTCCGCATCGCAGTTTTTTATTTTGTTCTCAGTCCAATAGAATAAAATTCATACCTAATCATTAATTGATTGTACAGAAAAATGTTCTAGACGAATTTTGTAGGAAATTTAATGCTCTACAAAAAAGGTATCTTATATATTTTTTCCGTAAACCTCACCATTTGAATGATATTGAAGATTTAAGTTTGATTATTTTAAGACAAATTTCATTTTTGTTTATGAATTTTATAACTCGACAATAAATGACTATAAAAAAGTCCACAATACATATTTTTGTAGAAAATTAGCTGCTCTAGAAAAATGGTGTCTTATGTTTTGGCGATTAAAATAAGCGTTCAAAAGATATTCATCATCAAACTTTCATGTGTACTGATTTCTGTCCCTGAATATCTTTTGAACGCTTAATTTAATCGCCAAAACATAAGACACCATTTTTTTAGAGCAGTTAATTTCCTACAAGAATTTGTATTGCGCATTTTATAATAGTCATTTATTGTCGAGTTATAAAATTTATAAACAAAAATAAAAATTTGTCTTAAAATAATCAAACTTAAGTCTACAATATCATTCCAATGGTGAGGTTTACGGAAAAAATATAAGTTCCTTTTTTTGTAGAGCATTAAATTTCCTACAAAATTTTTCTAGAACATTTTTCTGTACAATCAGTTAATGATAAGCTATGAATTTTATTCTATTGGACTGAAAAAAAAATAAAAAACTGCGATGCGGAGGATCTTCCTATTGAAATTAAGAGCTCATATTTGGTAAAATTTTTTTTAAGTTGTCTAGAAACCCATTTTTCCGTGGCACTTGTAAAAAAAAAATAATTCATTTTTTTGACCCACTCTAATATATATATTTACGTTGCTGTGGCTTTGTTATAAAACATTAATGTAATATAATTCTAAACTATTTAATACAATCAATTTAATATTCAGTAATAATTTCTGGGAATTCCAATTCGGCATAAAACAATATACAATTTTTAATATGCATAATATGTAATACATAAATAAAACACACATAAAATAATACCACATATAGGTCCGGTAGTTTCGAAGTTCATTGGAAACCAACAATGTGACATTTAATTTTTATATATAAAGATAATATACAATGAAGATTATGGAAAAAATAAAATAACGATTATTTTTAAATTAATTTTTAGAGAAGAAAAATTTTACCATTACATGTACCTAGTTCAAATAATGTAACATTGTCCTAATAATTTTTTTCATGAAATCGTAAATAACAAAAGTATCCAAATATATCGATTTAAATTCCTTATCCTGCATTTTAATTGCATTATCCATCTATTCATACAAAAATATAATAAATTCCTAACAATGATTTCATAAGTATCACTCACAGAAAAATTTCAACATCCTAAAATATTACAAATTATAATTTATGATATCGACGCATATTATAATTTCCATTAATTATGCGAATATATATTATAAATAATTTATTACACGAACGTAATATAAATTTTAATTTATTGTACAAGAATATAGAAACGATTTCTCTCGATATAGGTTAGAAGAAAGGATCGATAAATAAAAACAAAGAAATCGTATCGAAGTGATCTATGATGATCGTCCAGTTTTCGCGACATGTTTTTATCTTTCCTCCTGTGGAAAGCTGTCGTATGAGTCCATTAACCTTGATGAAACTCAGTGCAACATTTTCTAACTCTTCTTCATCGTGTTAAGCACATGTACATCTACAGAAAGAACTGTAAACATCCTTCGTTGTCGTTCTAAATATTCAAATGATCGACACTGCTTATATTGTTAGTTTCTTATGTTTTCTATCTTTTTTTTTTGTTTTCGTTAGTTGTATTGTTTTATATTTTATTAAATATTCCATAATTAAAAGATTTTTGTCCTAGGATCGTAAATGTGAAACTGAAATCATCTCGCTGATCAATTCGAATTAACAAAAAAAAAATGGTTAAAGTTAAATCGACAATTGGCGCATAATTTTCTACGATAAAACGTACACACATATATAAATATAAGTGAATATGTCTTTTTCTAAAGAAGAAAATCGATTTCATGCATTACGCTTGCCATCACACTTCTCAACAACCATTTGATTAATGATACATGTTTCATAAGGATTATTAATTATTCTGTTACGATTAATTTACTTCTTATCTCCACAAGATAAATTTATTTTTTAATTTGTTGATCCTTATCAATCTATATACCTAACCATTTTTTAATTTATTTCAATGTTATGTGTGTGATGTGTGATGTACATAGGAAAGTATAACTTGTATTACATGTTCGTATGAATGTGTTTGCATGTCTATTTATTTTTCTTTTTTTAAGAAAAAGGTTAATAAAAAATGACGAGATTAATTACCCTATTTACGGAAGACAACATTTCAATCATCGTCCGATCTTTTTCTTATCAATTTCCATTAAGCAAGTTAATAACAGATAATTAAAATTTGCACAAGAAATAAAAGAAAAACATTTCTAGGAAGATATTCAATATTCGACTAACTTCACTTCATGAGAATTCACTGGAAGATTGATTTACCTTAAAGCTCCGCTAGATGTTAGCACTGTACGAATCTCGAGCAGTGCAGTAACATTCGTCTACCTGTCTACCCCTCATACCTCAGATCGTCTCATTAATTTGTGTTTAATTTCACAGAATTAGAGAGTTTTTTGAAGTGAAAACTTCTTTAGAATAAGAAGTGATTTGAAAAAAAATGAAACACTATCGGTCAGGAAACGAGCTAGGCAACGGCCACGATATTTTGTAAGAAGAGAAAAAGAGACAAAAATATAGGATTGAGCCTGCGAGAGAATGAGGCAGAATACAGCTTTACAGTTTTTCCTCTTCTTGGTCTCTGATTCGTAGTCCCCACTCCTGGCTACTAATTTTTGTATATGTATGCGTTTGTGTGCGATTGCATGCATACTACGAAGCGTGGTAATATCATCTCGATACTAAACCTGTATGTATGTAAGAGCAATAGAAGGGTAGAAGAATAAACAGAGATAAGCACGCAGGTATGCGATAAAAGTATAAGGTCCAAACGAACCGACGGTCGAAATAAAGAAAGAAGGTGTGAAGTCTGGCTTTGTAAGTTGTATAAGTGTGTAAGCTGTGTAAGTCTGGAAGGTATATATATACGTGTAATTTCTTTTCTATTTTTCTATTCTATTTTTCTATTTCTATTTAAAAATGTTTCTATTTTATTGAGAAATTTATATTAAATTCTTTATTTCGCAAATATTATCATTAATAATTATTATATTCTATAATATAATAATTGTATTGTCTGAAATATTTAAAAAAAAAGAAGGATTACTAGATACATCAGAGAAAAAGAATTAGAATACACTGGAGAATACATTAGGAGCAGCTGACAAATTCCATTCAAAAGCAAAAAAATTACTGTCACATTTTAAGTCGCAAATAAGAAAATTATATTATTAATTGTAATATTTGCGTATTTAAGAAACTTATACTAATGTTTCAATAAAATAAAAACATTTTTAAGATGTTGAACGCCCAGCGTAAATCGGTGGAACTTACCACGGGGCTGAAATTTGAGACTCGTAGGGTACACAGTTCGATAAGCTGAGAGAGCGATACGATTCAATGCATTTTTTAGATTTTTCATTGTTCAGATCTTTATTTAGACGAGAGTATTTAGAAAGATAAGTTTGTTGTTCAAAGAATAAAGACGAGATATGTTATAAATAATAAGGGTCTCGAAGTGTGGTAGGCTACAGAGTTGAAAAAACATTTCTAGAGAATATCTTTA